TAGCCCACTCCCACCCTCTGGTGTGACAACCAGAGCACCATCCACCTCTCCCAGGATCCCGTGTACCACACTCGCACCACGCACATCGAACTCCGACACTTCTTCATCCGTGACCTTGTCCAGCGAGAGCAGCTCAATGTGGAGTATGTGGCTTCTGACTGCAACTTGGCTGATCTATTCACCAAGCCCCTTGGGAAGGTTCCTCACCATCGCCTTCTAGGCGCCATGGGGCTCTGCGCTCCACCTTCTCTGCCATGACTTCGATTGACGCCTATGGGGAGGTGTTAGTGTTAGTCCTCAATCTCAAATTTGCACTTGTACTTTTTATATTCTAGGTTAGTGTAGTTTGCACTTTGTGTTTGGTTGGGTGTACACCCACATCCCAACCAAACCCAAATGTAATCTCCAAGCAATCTCCAACCCACCAATTGGAGATTGCCTTGGGATTACCCTCGATTCCCTAGGATTGCCCCTGATTCCCTTCTCATCCATGCCGTAAGTGCTCATTTCTGATGTACTTAAAGAGCTTTGAGCTCACTACTAATGTATCAGTTCTAAGCTCAAATTTTGACAGAGGAAGCACCCCTTGGATCACACACCCACACAACCCTCACCTTGTACAGCGAGCGGCGTGTGTCGATGGCGGCAGTCTGCACAGCTGCATCCACCAGCTCCGCCAGTGACGTGCCCACGTTGCTCACTGCAATCTCAGGCGAGAAGAAGACCTAGCGGGGGGAGAGGAGGCAAGGAGGGAGGGAGGGAGGGAGGGAGGGAGGGAGGGAGGGAGGGAGGGAGGGAGGGAGGGAGGGAGGGAGGGAGGGAGGGAGGACATGCCAAGACACATAGAGGAACAACATGGGGAGAAACGGTGCATTGGAAGAGCAAAGAGGGGTGGAGAGGGGCAGTCATGAACAATTGTACTGCTGCTGCACGCACCTGCTCTGCCAGTAGTCGGCTTGGGTGTGCGGTGATTTCAGGAGAGAAGAAGAGCATTGGAGCACTGGTGGCTGGCTGGCCACTGAAATAAAACCTCAAAGAACCAAACCCGAACCCCAAAGACTTCACCCCAAGCACATCCACGCACTCACATCACATCGCAGCTTTAAGGCGTGCTGGTGCGCTAATTTGTGGGCGTCCATTGGGCGTCCTATCAACCACTCACCTCTGCAAAAAGGGACCTCTCATGCCCCATGTCGCGGCGAAGGGACGTGTTGGTGGGCGCTCATTGAGAGCGTGTTGGTGCGACGAGCACCTTATGTACCCTCACACTCCGAAGCACACCGCCTCACCTCAGCAGCCAGAAACCGCTCGTGCCCCACGTCGCAGCGGTAGGGCGTGTTGGTGCGCGCGTTGGTGGCGGTCCAGACCTTGCGGTACTTATTAGGCTCCCTGTCGTGCTTGGTAAACTCCTGATGAAAGGTAGGTGGAGGGGAGAGGGGGGTGGGGGGGGGGGGGGGGGGGGAGAAGAGGGAGGTGGGGTGGGGGAAGGGAGGTGGGGGGGGGGGGGGGAAGGGAGGTGCGGGAGTACATGACATGACCGTTGCTGGCGGTCCAGACCTTGCGGTACTTATAAGGCTCCCTTTCATGCTTGGTGAACTCCTGGGGGCACAGAGAAAGGGAGAAAGAGGAGGGGGATGAGGGGACAGGGACACATGAACTTGCATTGGTGGCCGGCCACACCTGGCTGGGCGGCCACACCTGGCTGGCCGGCCACACCTGGCTGGCCGGCCACACCTGGCTGGGCGGCCACACCTGGCTGGCTCCCTGTCGTGCTTCGTGAACCCTCTCCTTCTTCTCCCTCACACGTGAGAACACAATCATGCACACATGTGTACCTGAACACAAGTGTACCTCAACACATATGTACCTCAACACATGTGTACCTGAACACATGTGTACCTGAACACATGTGTACCTGAACACATGTGTACCTGAACACATGTGTACCTCAACACATGTGTACCTGAACACATGTGTACCTCAACACATGTGTACCTCAACACATGTGTACCTCAACACATGTGTACCTCAACACATGTGTACCTCAACACATGTGTACCTCAACACATGTGTACCTCAACACATGTGTACCTCAACACATGTGTACCTGAACACATGTGTACCTCAACACATGTGTACCTGAACACATGTGTACCTCAACACATGTGTACCTCAACACGTGTGTACCTCAACACACGTGTACCTCGACACATGCACACACATGAGATGCTGGCATGTTTGCATGTGGAGAGTCTTGCAAATTGGATGCATGTGGAAGGAAGGAGACACGTAGAAGGCTGGATGTAGGCATGGGCAAAAGACCCGGACGGGTCGACCCGAAGTGGGTCAGAGATACCCGAGAGGTAATGGGCGGGTTGGGTCAACATCCTTGGCCCAAATACCCGGGGTCGGGTAGACCCGACCCGACCCGAACCCGACCTCGGGTTGGCCTAAACGGGTCGGGTCGGGTCGGGTCGGGCTAATGCCTATGCCTAGCTGGATGATGGATAAACCTTGACAAGATCACAGCATGTTTGCATGTGTGCATGTTTGCATGTGAGCATGTGTGCATGTTTGCATGTTTGCATGTTTGCATGTTTATGGACTGGAGGTACCTTGACAAGATCAGAGCATGTGTACCCATACGTCTCCTTCACTCTCCTTCCCTCTCCTTCTCTCTCCTTCAAACATGCATAGCTGCACTGCACCTTGACAAGGTCGGAGCATGTGTATCCATAAGTCTCCTTCACTTTTCTCGCCACTTCAATTGCCTCCTCTGCTGGTACCGGCTCCCCTCGGTCCTGATATTGGAATGGGGTAGGGCATGGGGTAGGGCATGGGGTAGGGCATGGGGTTGGGCATGGGGTAGGGCATGGGGTTCGGCATGGGGTTGGGCATAGGATAGGGCATGGGGTAAGGCATTGGGTAGGGCATGGGATAGGGCACGGGGTAGGGCATGGCATAGGGCATAATATAGGGGCACGGGATTAGGCACGGGGTAGGGCATGGAATAGAGCATGGGATTGGGCATGGATTAATTAAATAAGAAATGAAAGTGATACTCCAGAGTGCAGTGAGTGACCCTCCGTGGAACGGTGCTTGCAAGAGCAATAAAAACAAGAGCCACCACCCATCACAACCTATCAAGAGCAACACCAATACAACACCATATAATCTCACAGCACATAGAAATACACCATGTATGGGGTGTTTAACCTAAGGAACTAGCATAACATATTGATGCCTAGATGCTTTCTGCCATCATTTCCAAAACAACTGCCTTGTATGTGCATGTGAACTTGTTAGAAACACACAACCTGCCAGGGTTGTTGTTTTCACCTGAGCTGCCGTGTTTGCTGCAGTGAGGGCAAGGGATGGTTGACTAGCCATGTACAGACCTGCCACGTTGAAACTGCATCCACAGCGTGAGGCAAGGGGAAGGGGACAGAGGGTTGGGATCGAAGAAGTAAGGGCACAGGGTAGACTTGCCATGTACAGACCTGCCATGTTGAACCTGCACTTATGTGTGAGGCAAGGGGAAAGGGAAGGGGACAGAGGGGCGGGATGGAAGAGGTAAGGGCATAGCGTTGACTTGACTGGCCATGTACAGCCCTGCTACAACGATCATGCAGGAAACATGAGGCACGGGGAAGGGGAAGAGGGGTGGAAGGGAAGATAGACGCGGACAGGTTCAGAGCACACAGATGGGATAGAGGAGAAGAGGGCCCTCTGCACCCACGTTTTAATCAAACATGATTTCGGCGATGAACTCTCAGTGATCCGGTAGTGTGGGTGGAGACCATGGAGGGGGTGGAGACGATGGAGGGTTTCCTCACTCACGTTTCAAACATGATTGCAATGTACTCTCGGTGCTCGGGCGGGGAGAGAGGGCTGTCAGGCAGCGGCAGCAGTGCCATAACAGCCCTCTCTGCTTCTGGCTGAGAGCCCTCTCGGTGCTGGGCTGGGGCGGGGAGAGAGGGCTGTCAGCATGGCATAACATGCTCCTCCAATCCAACTCCACCCGAACGAACAGGCATCACAGACTTCTCTGCTCTCACCTGAATGCACCGCACTACACCCACTCACGTTTCAAACATGATTTCGGCGATGTATTCTCGGTGTTCGGGTGGGGTGAGAGGGCTTTCAGCCAGCAGCAGCACATGCTCCTCAGGTTCCACCCGCATGTACTTGAAGAGGCTCTGCTGCCACAGATGCTCCATGGCATCCCATGCTTATATCTGGCAGTGGGGGGCAGAAGACGGGACACGGGACGGGAGAGGGACACGGGACGGGAGAGGGACACGGGACATGAGCAGACAGAAAGCAGCACATAGCGCCAGCAGCAGCAGCAGCAGCACATGCTCCTCTGGCTCCACCCGCATGTACTCGAAGAGGCTCTGCTGCCACAGATGCTCCATGGCGTCCCATGCGTCTGTGGCGGTGAATGGATGGGGAGATGGGATGGGACATGAGCAGAACGTACGCACAGAGAGCACATAGAGCCAACATGCTCCTCCGGTCCCACCCGCATGTACTTGAAGAGGCTCTGCTGCCACAGATGCTCCATGGCATCCCATGCTTCTATCTGGTGGTGGAAAAAAAGGGATGAGGCATACACGGGAAGGAAACATACAGACAGAAACCATCATGCCTTCTGCTGCCACAGATGCCCCATGGCGGGCCGCCCCTATCTGGTGGAAGGATGTGCACTCTCTCCTCCCTGCACTCTCTCCTCCCTGCACCCACCTCTCCCCTTTCCACGCATCCACGCTGCTCATTGTGTCAAACATAGCCCAGTTCGGCCCTCTAGACCCACCCGCACCGCTCTCCACCCATCTGTCCACTCTGCACTGGACGCGTCAGCGTTTACACACGGCCCAGATCAAACGTCGTCTTGATGATTCTCACCCCATTCACCTCCACCCACCGGCATGTCCCCTCTGCTACACGAGATGTGTCAGTTTGAATGGGCCAAATCAATCGAAAGCTTGGATGTTGTGTCAGTTTACCCATTCCTCTCCACCCACCTGCATCCCTCTCCACCCACCTGCACCCCTCTCCACCCACATGCATCCCTTTCCACCCACCTGTCCTCTCTGCACAGGGTGCGTCAGCTTGTACGGCCCAGATCGCGCAGCAGCATACGCCGCCTCGCCCACGTGGACGTCCAGGTCAGCCATGAGCGCTGCCACGTGGGCCTGCTGCTGCTGCTGAGCTGGCGACACGGCATTGGCTCCAGGAACCGCCAGCGCAGCAGAAGCGGCGAATGAGTCATGACAAGCAACGACTGTGGGGATGACGAAGCTGGGCTCTAGATTGCCGCCAAAGCCCATCTTGGTGAACCTGGGAACGTAAGAAGGGAGGAGAGGAGGAGCAAGAGTGGGATGCAGAGTCGTCGTGGCAGGCGGCTACCGTGAGGATGACGACGCTGGGGTCTAGGTTTCAGGCAAAGCCTATCTTCGTGAACCTAGAGCGGGAAGGGGGTTGGGGTGAAGAACAGACTGACAGGAACAGGATTCGCATGAGCTGTGGCGTGACCGCTGTGTGAGTATGATGATGCTGGGCCCTGGATTACCTTCAAACCCCATCGTGCAGGAGGTGTGAAGAGGAGACGGATGGAGAGGAGGAGCAGAGCAGGAGAGGGGTGAACGACATGGAGGAGTGGGGTGAACGACATGGAGGAGTGGGGTGAACGACATGGAGGAGTGGGGTGAACGACATGGAGGAGCGGGGTGAACGACATGGAGGAGTGGGTGAACGACATGGAGGAGCGGGAGGCGAGACGACTGAAGAGGCCATTACGATACACAGTTGCGATTTATGAAGTGGAGAGGGAGGAAGGGAAGCGGGGAGCCTGAGCAGAGATGGCTAAAGGGGTTACCCGGATCCATTATCTAGGACAATGGCGCTTCTCTGAGTGGGGTCCATCGCACACCGGGCGACGCCTCGTCGCAGGTCGCACAGTGGTCCCCGGAAACCACGCGAGGTAAGGACGCAAGGGATGCGACGTGCGCGACAGGCTGCGACGCTGCTCACTGGGTTTAGACACAACGGAACAGCGGCGACGCGGACAACCCAGAATCGTCGTTGCCTGTCGTTTTGTGCGTGAGAAGAATCCCTAGAATTAGGGATGTTCCTTAAGACTTGTCTATGCCTGGGGTTCGAGGACGCGTCACCTCCCCGCGTTCGATCCTGCGCAGATTCGGTGTGGGGGGTGACAGAACAACTGTAGCTTCGCAACACAAGGTTACACAAGATGCCCGTTAGTTACCCACAACTTTACTCGTCATTTGGGTGTTAAGTGGGCAACAACCATTTCGCCTGCTCGCCAACATTCGCCACGGGCAAAATCGGGAATGTATCGGGCAGGTGAAGAAATGTAACCAGCGTCTTCAAAATATCTCACGAACGGACGGATGCCAGCGTGATAAGCTGTTTGTTCAACGGCTGCGATCAAAATAGGGGCTTGTATCGTGCGTGCAACTGGCTGGTCTCAAATGCAATTGGGCAGGCGGTCGGGATCGGGCAGACCAGATGCGCGTGCAATAGCTGAGCATCGTGTGTACCTATTGTGGCAACGTTTACGAATGCACAGTAAAATGGCCCACACGAACATCTCAGCGCAAATCGGTCGTCAGAGTCGATTTGCCTGGGTTGTCAGGAGGGGTCGTCGGAGCCGGGCGTGACGAGGCGGGCAACTACCGCGCGTGCGGGCCCGCCAGCCTGGCCCAGGGCTGGGCCGAGCGCACGACCGCCGCCCCGCAGCCTCGCTCCGAAAGCGAACAGCGACCCACGTTACCGGGTGGGGTCGGCGAACTGGCGACACCTGGCGTGAGGGAAAGTAACCCTCGCGCGAAGGCAGCCCACCCGTGCCACCTGCCCGCGAGGTCCTAGTAACCCATCGCGGCCTGCCCGGACAGGCAGGCGAGGGCATGGCGAAAATTCGGGGCCCCCCTCGGGACACTCGACAGTTTCGCGACCCGCTACGGTGCCGCCACGTGTTCGCCCGTGGGCTCGCATCGTGCGCATGCGAAATTTCGACCGATGCGAAATTAAAACCACTCGCATCGCATGCGCAATATCATCGCGATCCGCTACGAAATCGACACGTGTCGGCCGAAGCGACGCTCCGCGCGCATACGAATGTTCGCCCCCTCGCCGACCTGGGCCAATGGACGCGAAGTCGACGCTCCGCCAAGGCGGAGACGGACCACCTGTGCCACTTGCGTGTGCGCCCTCCGAGCCCTGCCGAGCCAGGCCCCACACCCTTGGGCGATGCTGAACGGGCCTGCGGTGGGGCACCACCTCCTTTTCTTTGTGGAAGGTGGCTTCGCTCCTCATTTTCTGTTAGAATAGTAGATGTGGGGCCTAGGCTTAGTAGCCTAGGCCCACACTAGGAGGTAGGTGGGTGCGCTCTAGAACTAGGAGTTAGGGTTTACGAAGGAGAATTGGAATGAAGAATGATGATGACTAGCAAGCAGCAGGACACACAAATAGCAAACCCTAAGGGGTTGTACTCACTATTGAGCACCCCACTGCAGGCTAGACAAATAACATTCTGACACACCCCCATAGCCAAAGTGGGGTGTAATCAGCAGAGCAAGCAAAGCAGTACAAGCTCAGGGTGGATCACGATGTCACCACACATTCTGAGCACAAGTTCAAGAAGCAATAGTTTATAATTTATGAGCAAAGCTAGAGGCAGTCACAGAGGGTAGGTGAGGAGGAGGAGGGCTGGCGAGAGGAGAGAAGAGTGGAGGCGACGGCTGAAGCTGCAGACACACGGGCAACAGACGGCACTAGTGCAACTCTAGTGGCTACCGGGAGCCAGAGGCCCCGGAATACAGGAGTAACAGGCTCGGCGGCTGATCAGCAGCGGCAGGAGCAACGGACCCACAGGCGACAGGTGCAACCGGCTCTCTGAGCTACCGGTGGCTATCAGAACCCCCGGAATACAGGCGCTGCAGACGACACGACGGCGGCCTCCGCTCAACCGCCCCCAACAGTCCCACACCCTTCGACACACACCCCTTGGTCCACCCTTAGCTCCACTCCCACATTACCCCCCTAGCGCCAGTCCCCTCGGCTCCCACACATCCACCCCCCTCAGCGGCAGCTGCAGCAGTGGGAGACGAAGGAGGAGGAAGGGACGACGCACACGGAGCACCCCCATACCCGTCACCCCCACACTCTCCTGTCCAGGGGACGGGGGGGGGGGGGGGCAGGGGCGGCGGAACCGAACAGGGCGCACGAGAGCTCGGGCAGAGTAGAGCGCACGAGGGCGCGGGCTGCAGCAGGGCGCACGAGGCACAAGGCACGAGGCACGCAGCACAAGGCACAAGGCACAGGGCACAGGGCGTAGGTAGGTAGAGCGCACGAGGCACGAGGCACGAGGCACGAGGCACGAAGCACAAGGCACAAGGCACAAGGCACAGGGCGTAGGTAGGTAAAGCGCACAAGGCACGAGGCACGAGGCACGAGGCACGAAGCACAAGGCACAAGGCACAAGGCACAGGGCGTAGGTAGGTAAAGCGCACAAGGCACGAGGCACGAGGCACGAGGCACGAAGCACAAGGCACAAGGCACAAGGCACAGGGCGTAGGTAGGTAAAGCGCACAAGGCACGAGGCACGAGGCACGAGGCACGAAGCACAAGGCACAAGGCACAAGGCACAGGGCGTAGGTAGGTAGCGCACGAAGGCACGAGGCACGAGGCACGAGGCACGAAGCACAAGGCACAAGGCACAAGGCACAGGGCGTAGGTAGGTAAAGCGCACAAGGCACGAGGCACGAGGCACGAGGCACGAAGCACAAGGCACAAGGCACAAGGCACAGGGCGTAGGTAGGTAGAGCGCACGAGGGCGCGGGCTGCAGCAGGGCGCACGAAGGCGCGGGGCAGCAGCAGGGCGCACGAGGCACAAGGCACGAGGCACGAGGCACGAAGCACAAGGCACAAGGCACAAGGCACAGGGCGTAGGTAGGTAGGTAGGTAGGTAAAACGAACACAGGCACGGCACAGCACAGCACGGCACGACACGGTACGGCACGGCATGGCACTGCACGGTATGGCTCGGCACGGGACACAACACGAGACACGAACGGACACGAGTAGCAAGGGGACGTACGAACAAAGGCGGGCAAACTCCAGGGGCGGCTGCTGCAGTGGCGGGCTGCTCCAGGGGCGGCTGCTGCAGTGGCGGGCTGCTCCAGGGGCGGTTGCTGCAGTGACTGGCTGCTCCAGGGGCTGCTGCTGCAGGCTCGGCAGCGGCAACTGCTGCAGGTAGAGCGGCGGCTGCTGCTGTAGGCTCTGGCGGCGGCTGCTGCTGCAGGCTCTGGCGGCGGCTGCTGCTGCAGGCTCGGTGGCGGCAGCTGCTGCTGCAGGCCTGGCGGCGGCTGCTGCTGCAGGGCGGCGGCGGCTGCTGCTGCAGAGCGGCGGCGGCTGCTGCTGCTGGTAGAGCGGCGGCTGCTGCTGCAGGCTCTGGTGGCAGCTGCTGCTGCAGGCTCTGGCGGCGGCTGCTGCTGCAGGCTCTGGCGGCGGCTGCTGCTGCAGGCCTGGCGGCGGCTGCTGCTGCAGGGCGGCGGCGGCTGCTGCTGCAGAGCGGCGGCGGCTGCTGCTGCTGGTAGAGCGGCGGCTGCTGCTGCAGGCTCTGGTGGCAGCTGCTGCTGCAGGCTCTGGCGGCGGCTGCTGCTGCAGGCTCTGGCGGCGGCTGCTGCTGCAGGCCTGGCGGCGGCTGCTGCTGCAGGGCGGCGGCGGCTGCTGCTGCAGAGCGGCGGCGGCTGCTGCTGCTGGTAGAGCGGCGGCTGCTGCTGCAGGCTCTGGTGGCAGCTGCTGCTGCAGGCTCTGGCGGCGGCTGCTGCTGCAGGCTCTGGCGGCGGCTGCTGCTGCAGGCCTGGCGGCGGCTGCTGCTGCAGGGCGGCGGCGGCTGCTGCTGCAGAGCGGCGGCGGCTGCTGCTGCTGGTAGAGCGGCGGCTGCTGCTGCAGGCTCTGGCGGCGGCTGCTGCTGCAGGCTCTGACGGCGCCCCGCGGGTCCCGCAGGGGGCGTCGCGACGAGCAGGGGCGACGCCCCGCGGGTCCCGCACGGGCGTCGCGACGAGCAGGGGCGACGCCCCGCGGGTCCCGCACGGGCGTCGCGACGAGCAGGGGCGACGCCCCGCGGGTCCCGCACGGGCGTCGCGACGAGCAGGGGCGACGCCCCGCGGGTCCCGCACGGGCGTCGCGACGAGCAGGGGCGACGCCCCGCGGGTCCCGCACGGACGTCGCGACGAGCAGGGCGACGCTGCGCGGGTCCCGTACGGGCGTCGCGACGAGAAGGGGCAGCACCCAGGGGGCGCCG